TAAAAAACGGTTGTTTTGAAATTGTAAGCTTTAAAAACGAGATAAGACTTCGAAAAAAAATCCTTTGCCATAAATTTTGACCCTAAATCAAATGGTGATACTGAAAAAATATTTGGAAAAGCGGAAAGGGTAGTTTTTGCAAGGGTAGGGGGTTATTTCGTGAATAACTTTATTGAGGTTATTTTTTTTTGCAACGTGGGTTCATTTTTTGGAATCTACATACTTTTTCCTTCAGAAAAGGTACTCTTGTTGCACATCGCCCAGAGCGATGGTTTTCGAGAAAATTGAAAGCAAAGAGATTGCTCTGAAGGGTTGCTACCTGGTTAATCAACCTAAACTTATGAAAGTTATGGCGGTTCAAAAGTAACCAAGTAGTTATTAAATAATTAATTGGAAAATCAAAATTTCATGATTTTTAAAACATCTGATTGCTTTAAAAACGAAATAAACTTTTTTGGTTTTAAAAAAATTTGGTTTGCTCAGTGCCGATTAATACTGAAAAGCAACTACGGCAACGCATTATTGATTGTTCCATTCAAATTCGGACAACACCAAGGATATTCCACAGGGTATCTACGTAGATCGTAGAGAAGAAGATCAGATGTCTACATTGAAATGAATGGTGGTCACTTTGAACATTTACTATGAATTACATTATTTTAATCAGGAATTTTGGTAATTGGATTATTTCATTTTTTAAAGCAATAAGATGTTTTAAAACTATCACCCCCCGATTTTTTTACACCATTTCAACGACACCCTGTATACAGTGGGGTGTCCGTTATTTGAAAAGTTGATAATTTCTCTCACGACGCCCTCAAAATTTTTAGTTTATTGTCTAAAAAAAAATAACAGACCCTTAATATTCACAATCAACCTTGCTCCAAAGACGATTCATTTTCTATTTAAATTACATGGAAATTTGCCACTTTTTGCAAATATTTTTTTCTCTCGATCTTGTTCTTTCGCACACTGTTCGGTTTTTATATGATTCAAAATAAAAAATATATAAATTGTAAAATTAGTAGTTTTTTAATGGCCATAATGCGTTCTTTCAAAATCATCAAACAACTAAATCATTTCCATAGATCAAGTGACGTACCGTGACTTTGAATTTTGAGACCAAAAACTGAAACAATAATTTGTCAAAAAAATCATATTACCGCTATATGTTTTATTTTGCATAAAAATGTTAACTAATAAGTTAGAATAATTATAATTCTTCCCTAACTAAGTGGTTGTATCGCTAAATTTAACTAAAGCTAAGTACAACACAAATCTTAAATACGTGGACTATTATAACAACAAATACATCGTAAAAGACTATTTTGGTAGCATTCTGAACGAGAATTCAAGTTAAACTTTTTAGAAAATAATTTAAAGAAAAAATGTTAATTCATTTAATATTAATTTTTGTATACTGCTCAGATTTATCTGGTCTTCTATCATATATTTTGGAAATTAGAGAATTATCTGAAGATTTTCATGTAAAAATTGGCATTGACAGTAATGGTGGATCACTTAAAGTTTGTCTGAATGTGCTCCCTGAAAATGATCCCGAATATTTCAAGAAATATAAAAGTGCTGGAATTAATAAACTATTCATCATTGGCTTAGGACCAAAGTTGTCTGAATCTTATGCTAACATTAAAAGCCTCTTTGAGACGTTAGATCTGCAGTCCATATGTGGAATTTGTTCCTATACTTTTGCCGCCGACTTTAAGCTTATTATGATTCTCCTTGGCCTTCAGTCAAATTCATCCACTCACACTTGCCCATGGTATGATGTAAATGTAAAGGAAATGGAAATTAAAGGACCATTCAGAACTATAAAAAGTATTACAGAAAATACAAATTTATGGGAACAATCTGGAGGAAATATAACAAATGCCAAAGATTTAGTAAGCGTTTTTGTTTGATATATTTTTTTGTATTTTTTAAACTGTTGTTCAATGAACCATATACAAAAAGGGCAATTATTTTTTAGAAAACTGTATAAAAATACCTTTAATCAATGGCGACGAAGAAACACCTGTCTTAAAGCATATTCCCCCTCCTGAGCTTCACCTTTTGTTAGGTGTGGTTCAAAAACTATTTGATTGTCTTGAATTGGAGAATACCAATGTTGCCACAAAATGGATAAAAAAAGCGGGATTGAAACTAGATCATTATGGAAAATGTAACGGAAATAACGCCAGACAACTTTTAAAGAAAGTGGATATTTTGAAGACGATATCGCCCGGTAAAGAATCCTATTCAAAGTTTTGACAAGCAAAAACCTAAACATCTTTTTTTTTAGGAAATAAATATATTGCAGTGTTGTCTGCATTCAATCAAGTAGTTTCGAGTTGTTTTGTTCAAGCACTAAACAAACATTTTGAACATGACATCGAACAATTTAGATTGGAAATACTCAACTTAGGTATTAAGATAACTCCAAAGATTCATGCAATTCTGCATCTTGTGCCAGAGTTTATAAAAGCAAATCATAGAGCTCTAGGATTTTACTCGGAACAAGCATCTGAGCAGGTTCATTATTTTATAAAAAGTTTAACTTGAATCCTCGTTCAGAATGCTACCAAAATAGTCTTTTACGATGTATTTGTCGTTACAATAGTCCACGTATATAAGATTTGTGTTGTACTTAGCTTTAGTTAAATTTAGCGATAAAACCACTTAGTTAGGAAAGAAATATAATTATTCTAACTTATTAGTTAACATTTTTATGCAAAATAAAACATATAGCTGTAATATGATTTTTTTGACAAATTTGTCAGTTTTTTGTCTCAAAATTCAAAGTCACGGTACGTCACTGGATCTATGGAAATTATTTAGTTGTGCGATGATTTTGAAAGAATGCATTATGGTCATTAAAAAATTACTAATTTTACAATTTATGTATTTTTTATTTTGAATCATATAAAAACCGAACAGTGCGCAGCTATGACAATCACATATTCTTATACAGAATTGAACACTTTACAAAAAAGATCTCTTACAATTTTTTGAGAAACCTACTCCTTCAAAAGTTATTCACGGTTAAAGTTAACCACAGGTAACTTCCTAAATTCTTCAACTTTTTTGACAAAATTATGATTATTTCTGAAAAATTTAATATATATATATTTATTAATATAAAAATAGTATACAATTCTGATGGTGTTAAGGTTGGGAATTAAGAAATCTTCAAGTCTAATGCAGTTTAAACAATTTATAAACATTCTTTACTTGGATTTTGATATTTCTTCTTATACTCGCTTACAATCTGATTCAAATATTGTTTTTCATCTTCACTTCCAGATAAGATATTAACGTATTCTTCTGACAATTTAACAGCTGTTTCTCAAAAACAAAATAAGTTTTTGATTTTCCCAGTCGGAAAAATCAAAATCGCTGATATAACGACTATAGATAAAATATAGAGATCAAATGGTTTTCAAAAACGTTTGAAGACGGAGAAGTGGCAGACTCAACATAATTAGTCAACACAGAAAGTTGACAATGACAGTTGTGTTGTTTTGTGTCATTTTAACTTATAGGCAAATTGTAGTATTTTCTCTCATTTTTTAGGTGTCGTCTGTCGAAATCTTTCCTGACTCGTTAAACATTCTTTAGCCCCCAGACTATAACAAATTGTTTTAAAAAGATTAATGTACTGAATTATGAAAATATAATAATTATACTGTTTTCCTAGCTTCTTAATATTTTCTTGTTGTTCATATAATACTCCAATTCTTTATGCACTTCCAAAAGGCTGATTTTAAGCGAAATAAACATAAATTTCTGTTGTTTGTTAGTCATTAAATTAATTAGGTTTGCTCTCTACAATCTCCTACGCAAAACAGTAACAATGCTGTTATTTTTTTAATCCTTTTTAAAAACATAGTAGAACAAATTGGAATAGAAACAAATTAACTACATTTTGTTAGACAGATTGCAAAACAGCATAAAAACAATTAAAAAAATGTATTTTTATTTTAGTTCATTTTTATGAAAGAAAAATATAAGCTTTAAAACTAAATTTTAAATCACTTAAAAACGATTTACTAAAGTAAATCTTTTAAGTAAATCGTTTTTAAGTGATTTAAAATTTAGTTTTAAAGCTTATATTTTTCTTCGTATACCTAAAGGTATAAGAACATGTATACTCTGTTTTTTTTTTCTCAGGTAAGATTTAAACAGACGATGACAGAAGTAAAGCAGATGACGTCCCATACCAATCTATTTATTTTACTAAAAAAAGTTTCTAATATTTTTTAAGTTAACTATGGATGGGTTTAAATATAAATCCGTCATGCGTCGTCTTTCTTTTTAACCAGTTTCATTGGTTTATTTCAAAAATGACAGATCATATTTCAATTTTATTGGTTTTACGGAACGATGAACGACAAACGGACGCCGATGCGTATGAACTCGCCTTTAGATTTTTGAGACTTGTCAAAGTCTTGCCAAATTATAGGTTATAATTTTGTGTCAAGTTATGTCAAATATCTGCGTTTTGGAAGATGATGCATTTTGATTCGTGTTATTACGTGTGTTTTGTGTCTTTTGAAGTCAAGTGGAGGAAAAATCGAGGAAAAATTAACTGTAGACCCAGAGCAAAGTTTATAGTTAATACTCGCTGCCCAGACAGAAAGTCTTATACACCAATAAAGTTACCATCATTAACGTTTGTATACCATCTCGTCATAGATCTCGTATATGGTACAAGGATCGTACTAAACATATACTAGTGAAGTAGCTGTAAAATATCGACTTCACACGATAAATGGATTTTAGTACTGCAGAAAATGATGACAAAAATACTGGTTCAAAAAAATTAAGATTAAAGTTAATTAATCAACTTTAAGGTATAAAATTTGGCAAGTGCTATTATTAATTAAATAGTTTGTTTTATTTATGTTTACACCTTTTTTTACACTTTAAAATTCACCAAAAATTTCTTCGTTGCGTTTTTTGCATCTGAGTATATAATAATAAGTAAAAATTTTTTTTCTTACCCAGAATGGCCACCACCATATTATTCTGCACTACCTCCATGGACCCGTTGCAAATATAATAAATATAACTTAATGCATCCCCCTTGTGGATCAGATACTCTCCAGGGGCGCAAAAATTCGTCCTGATATGCAGGGAGAGCAGCTTTAAGCAGCCCTGCGAGGCAGCTTCGAAAATGGGAAGCTGCAGGATCTCGCGGTGCAAATGCATGGAAACATCGCCTCGAAGTTCCTCAGGAAACTCTTTCAGTGTCTGGAAAAGGAAAAATATTGGTTAAGAAAACTGTGATAAGCTCGTGTTAAGAAAAACGATTTTTCGTTACAGTGAATGGCTCTAAAGAATATCCCTAGATAATGTAACCTTTTTTGAATATAAAGACATGGCAAAAACTTTGAATGACTTCAATTAGCGTAGAAGTTTGTTTCTGTAATTTTAATTTAAGCATTCAGAATGCTAAAATTGGTGGTTGTAATTTTCAATTAGTAAAAAAAGTTTGAACTTTAAATGAAAGTGGTGTCTGGGAGTTTTTTGACATAAAAAAATTGATTTTAATGTCAATATGACTCATTTTTATAGGAGGCGTCACTTACATGTGTTTTAGACATATGACAAATGTACAAAATGTACAAAAATATACATTTCCCTGATTTTTTACGTAAAAAATGCCTCTTGGTAAAAAGCCCTACGAGCAACGGTTCTCAAGATATTTAGAACAGAAATAGTCAATACATGTCATTATTGACAAAAAATAAATATGTTGAATTGATAGATAGTTATTTGACTGAAATGTTATATTTGGGAACTTTTTATTTTTTTAAATTAATCATGATCATGATAAAACAGTTTCTGTTGAACTTTTGGCACAAAAATATTTCAAATTTTTTATTTTAGTCTAATAACTATTTATAAAGTCAACCAAAGAATATACTATAGTATATATAGTATATTATAATAGCTAGAAAAAGAATGGACTTTGCCATAATGAAAAATAGTCCTACAGAAGTGGCGCCATCTATTGAGTAGGGCTTGTTCTAAATGGATCGAAGCGCGGGCTTTTTAAATGAGCGTATTAATTGAATTTTACTCTAAAATATAATTAAATTTGATTATTAAATCTGGTTTTTTACACAAATTCAACAATACTAATAACAAGTATCGTTGTGATGTGTAAAAAATAACATTTAACAGTATAATTTATACAATTATTAAATAAAATTAAAGCCAAACATGTGAAATATTATTTATTATTTAAAGTTTTTATTTATAAGTCAAATATTTAAACATCGTTTATTATAATAAAACAAGACCAACGTAATACGCCCAAAGTTTTGTAAATGGAGTAAATATAAATAGGTACTTAAATGATGGCAAAAATAAGACTTACATTATATTTTTAGGACCACAAACAACAGGAATTGTCTAATTAAAACACATATAACAAATTATAGTTTGAAAAACGTTTTGATAATCATTTGATAATATTATGATAGGCGCTATGACAACGACAATATTTTTTGAGAATTTGACAATAGTATGACAATGGCCGTTGGAAACTACAAAAAAATTCTGATTTAACGCCATCTGGCAATAACGAGTAGCAACTTCTTAACCTAAAAATTAATTGCACTACTACCTAGCGCCTGAGGCTGGAACTATTTTATTTGAAATTTCCATGGAAACGGTGGAACCGCTTTTGCTATTTCACTTTCCCGCCCCTGGAGTCAACATGTTTAATTTATGTCAAGCTGACAGGTATTGATAATTTCAATTCCAAATATCCCGAGAACCATTGCTCGTAGCCCATTGCTCATTTTACCAAGAGACATTTTTTACGTAAAAATCACGGAAATGTATATTTTTTCAATCCGTAGGTTTATACAGGTACGGACAAAAAGTTATTACTCTTCAAGCCAGTTAAAAAATATGTTGGTGGCGCGCTATACAAGTAGGAGTCATATTGACATCAAAATTTAATTAAATTACATACTGGGATACTGTATACATACTGGAGTCATATTGACATCAAAATTTAATTACATATATACTGGACTCAATATACTGGGAGATAGGAACAAAGTGTCGCTAATATGGATACCGGGACATGTCGGCCTAGAGGGAAATGAACGTGCTGATTCCCTCGCCAAAATTGGTGCAGGCTCGCCATTCGTGGGCCCAGAACCGGCACTTAGCGTTCCCAAAAATCTCGCAAGAGACAGGCTCTGTGAATGGGTTAGGGGTGAGACATTCCGAGACTGGAATGACAGTCCCGGAATGGAGTATGCCAAGAAAATCCTAGCAGGGCCATCCAAACATAGAACAGGAGAACTCCTAAAGGCCGGTAGGAATGGAACGCCTGTGCTCACTGCAGTGTACACGGGCCACTGCCGGCTGAGATCTCACCTACAGAGGACGGGACTGGTGGAAGACGCCGAATGCCGACTCTGTATGGAAGATGATGAAACAATGAAGCACGTTATGTGTACCTGCCCCTGCTGGGAGCAGGACCAGGTTTGAGATGTTTGGCAAACCCATGCTAGACCTATCAGACCTAGGAGACATATCGCCCTCAGACATAACGGCCTATATTAAGAGGCTGGGTCTTGAGGATGAACTTTGACGCTCTTGTAAATTAGAGCTTGTAGAAACTGAGCCACAATAGGCCCTCGCGGCCTCAGTGGAGGGTCCCCTATGGGACCCACTCTTAGTCAAATACAATACAATACAATACTTCAGAAATTATTTGGAGAAAAATCGAAATAAAAATGAAACTTCCGCACCCTGTATCTCCGAAACTAAGCATTTTAGGACATATATTTATACGAACTTTTTTACTTATTTTTATTTGAAGAATATGCTGCCAAAGTATCCGGAATACAGTTTGGACCACCCTGTATATTAACTGAAAAAAAATTGCTAAAGTAAAAAAATAGAAATATAAAGCGTTTGAGAAATCAGAAAATCATGTTTTCTCTAGCATGAAAATAATTCTTGATATTTTTGTTTACAAAACGGTTGTACGAAAAAGTAATTTCTTTAAAAGTCAAAGAGAAAAAGAACGCCTTCAGACTTACTTCGTGAATGTCGATGCCGTGGTTTAGGGACCAAGTCGTCTGGAAGTAGTCCTGCATCCTGTTCTTCAGCTCTTTGGGGATCTGGTGGAGGGTGAAGAAGTCTTTGAGATCGCGCCATTTCGTGTGGTACAAAGAGCGCCTAGAGTACATTCTCTGGATTATAGCGGTGACGTTGCCGAATACCACGGCGTGCATCAAAGCTGAAAGGGATACGAAATTGTATAGTATTGAGGTTTAACTGATATTTTACTAAAAATTAATTTAAAAGAGTTTATACAGGGTGGCGCGGCGCCTCTCATGTGCCACGGAAGCTCCAAGGAGAACGATAGTTTATATCGAAATCAAAATTTTGGCAGCATATGTAGGTTAACTGAAAGCATTTTATAAAGATATATAGAATTATACAGGGTGTCCCCAAAAAAAGTTACACATCAAAGTTGTGTTTTTTTCTAATGGAACACCCTATATATTAATTGATTTTCGGATTCTAGCAAAAAAATAAAGGTAAGTTTTATTAAAGAAGCATATACCTAAAATCTAAGGATTTTGACATATTTCACATTTTGTGAAAATGAAGAGTAAATTTTAAATTTCGATAACAGCTACCAAATTTTAGTTGGCTTTGTATAGCCTGATATTTAATTACAGTAACCATTGTATGTTAAACCAAATTGAAATTTGACCCGAAAAGTTATACAGGGTGAGACAAAATTAATATGGAATATTAGTCACTTTTAAAAGCAAGGTACTCCTTTATTTTAAATGGAACATCCAGAATATTATTCCGGTGTTCAATGGGGAATTTATATATATCTTCAAAATATTATTAAGGTTGCCTACAGCTCAGACAAAGATTTTCTTAGATATTTTAATTTTTATGATTTTGCGTCAGTAGATCTTTATTATTTGAAAAAATCTAGGGTGGCTGTGTATAACCTTTTGTTAATTTAACAAAAAATAAAGACTCTAGAGTAACATGCTCAACGTAATAAAAAGATACACGTTTAAAACATATTTTAATTATTACATAAATTAAAACTAGATTTAAAGTTATAATTATGTGGCAAATATTTGCTAGATGAAATCAAATGCTCAAAATGGTTCCTTCCTGCTAACTGCATAAAATGATTGTCTTTTCTAAGGGATCTTTTCATTTTAAAAGGCATTATGTGGAGTTCTACCTCGAAAAGCAGCTACAATAATTTCTCTCATGTTGCCTTTAAACACTGTCTTTAACATATTCCCATAAAAAACCTAGACTAGATAAAATCAGGAGCCTTTAAGTATTCTTTTATAGTTTTATATAATAGAATCATATCAATTTTCTCTGATGTAGGATAAGTTTGCATTTTCGGTAAATTTCTTAGAAATGTTTTTGTTTTAACTGACACAAAATGATAACTAGTTGTTAAAGTTGGACTAATTAGACAGCTATGTTGAAGTAAGGTCAGACATATCACAGCCACCCTAGATTTTATCAAATAATAAAGATCTACCCAGATCAAATCATGTAAATGAAACTATCTAGGAAAATCTTTGTTTGAGGGGTAGGCAACCTTATAGTATTTTGAAGAGACATGAATTCTCCATTGAATATCGAAATAATATACTGGGTGTCCTATTTAAAATAAAAGAGTAACATGCTTTTAAAGGTGACCAATGTTCAATATTAATTTTGTCTCACCCTGTATAACTTTTTGGATCAAGTTGTAATTTGATTTAAAGTACAATAGTTAATTTAACTATATATTAGGATATACCGGGTAAATTCTAATTTAGGTAGCTTTTATTGTAATTTAAAAATTGTTCCTTATTTCTAGAAAATGTCATCAAAAACCTTACATTTTGGACATATACTTCTCTTATAAAACTTACCTTTATTTTTCTCCCAGAATCCGAAAATCAATTAATATATGGGGTGTTCCATTACAAAAAACACAACTTTGATATGTAACTTTTTTCGGGGACACCCTGTAGAACTCTTTATATTTTTAAAAAGTGCCCTGAATTAACCTACATATGCTCACAAAATTTCATTTCAATACAAACTGTCGTTCTGCTTGGAGCCTCCGCGGCGTATGAGAGGCACTACCCTGTACAACTATAAAAAAATACCTTATCACTTTTAATTGTTTCGATGTTTTCCACGTAAATGAGCCATAATCTTTATAAAAATGAATAAATTAAGAAGAAAAACAATAAAAAATTAATTAAAATTAATAAAACTATTTCACCGATAACGACTGCATTGTTCTCCAAGCTCGGTCTACTACCCTTCTCGTAAAAAAATTAGGTGATGCATCCCGTCAATATAATTCGACAAATTTGGCCAATGTAATGATTGGGCGGAGTGTGTTTTGCGGCGGCATACTCGTTAAGTCCGCTTGGACTCTGTCCCGTGTACATAGGTAGCGATCTATAAAATATATTGCTGTTTATTTAAATATGTTTTGTAGTAAATTGATTGTACTCCAATATGGTGATTCGATTCTTGAAATTTCTTTTGTAGACAGAGATAAAGCAGCCGTACATTTTAGTGAGTTAGGACCATTATTACAATTGTTTAGGTAATTATTAGGTAATTATGACCATTTGAAAAACACCTGGCATTTAGTAAATATAGGATTAAAAGTTAATAGTTGTTTAGGAGAAAAAAAATATTAGAAAATGAGATGAGGATAATTTTTACGTAGAATGTAGAACGCATTTTATGTTATGAATATATAATCAATCGAGTAACTTAGTAAAACAAAGAGAGCTTTTATGTTGTTCTAAACAGAACGCTCTTGCATTATTGATTTCATCTAATTGAGATCCGGTTTTATTCAGTTAGCAAATCCGTCTTATAGTCGGCAAAGTTAGGGAGTTAATTAAAGCTAACTTCGACGAACCGCAGATTGGTCAACTGGTCCTTGCTGCTGAGCAAGCGTACCCTCCCGTAGTCGATAGGAGCAAGGAAACAACGAAATCCCGATATTATTTAGAGGTATGTCAGAATCCACATTATTTTTTGTTCTTCATCAATCATATCGAAATTGACAATACAATCTCTAAACCTGACTAAATAAAATTTTGGCAAACATGTTTAAATTTGTTGTACAATTTAAGATACCGAGCAGCTCTTCATTTTAGTTCATAGAGCAAATGTTTGTAACAGACATTTTATTTAGATTAAAGCTGCAAAAATTAGTTTAAAGCGATATTTATTATCGCCATGTCGGTCACATTGCGCCGCGATCAGCAACGTTGTCATTTATTATTTGACAATTATCATAATGTCAGTCATTATTTTGTGTTATATCCTTCCTGGATAAAGCTATGCTATATGTATATTACACACAACCTTTGAATAAGAAGATTAAGGAAGGAGCATAATGCTATCCATGTATTCATGCATGGTGGGCGGAAAAGCCACCATAAAAGCTCTCTAGGGTGGGGATCCTTGACAGTTCTGTTTGACGATTCATTTGACACATTTGAATTTGATTTGAAATTTTGTGGATTTGTCAGTCTTTACGGAGCTTATTTTATGTTATTTATTATTTATTCTACTACTGATAGTTGTATAAAGGTAGTAAATCTAGATGGAAATTGTGGCAGAACTTAAATTAACAGTGACACTATCGCGATTTATCGAAAAAGACTCTAAAATAGTTGGTTGTGTAGCGTGCGGTAGATCTCGGCAAAAATTGAGTGAAATAATGGAACAACTTTTCGCTAGTAAGTGTCTATATAATATACATACATGTAGTAAACCGATCATTTATGAAATTCACTTAAATTAACTAAATTATATATTTTTCTTGCATTTTAGAGTTTATTTATTACTTGTCAAAGATTAGATGTCAAAGAATTTAGATACGTTAATTTGACTTACCTGCTTCAGTAGCGTATCGGATATTTGTGTTAATAAATACTTATTATAACTTATCTATTTTTATTAGAATTATATATTTTTATAACAATTTTAATAACTACCAACATTTATTCACAACGTAAAATAAAACAACAAATTATTGAGTCTACCCCACGTCTACCCTACATCATAGTTTTACTTTTTTAAAATAAAATTAGAACGACACTAATAAACCGGAATTTAAGTCGGCCATATTTGAGCCCCATCGCGGTGTACCTAAGATTTTTGATATGCTCCTTCCTTAGTCTTCTTATTCAAAGCACACGACTTTGTTTACGGGACTTTTACATGCATTTTTCTATTTATTTCTTTCTAGAACAAGATTATCGTATAAATCTATCCTTCTCTCTGCGTACGCTACGGAGCATGCGCAGAACGATATTAGACGTAAACTAACTTGGAGCGTTTTTCTCGCTGCGTTGACAACAATTACTAAAAATACATAAAAATACATAATGCAATAATTCATGAGACACGCTTTGTTTTTATATCATTTTTAATCTTTTATTTCGAGGTGTTTCTTTAGGAGCTACTAAAACTCTTGTTGAAACAAGATTAAACTACAATTATAGCTACAGTTTACCTCCTATTAGCATGACGCATATGCTGAATATTTTTTCGTTGGTAGTATTGGCACTGACGTTTCCAAAACCTACGCTTGTCAAACTGGAACAGGTGAAATAGAGTGCTGTAACATACGCGTCGGTGTTGGATACATTTCCTAGTTCGTTGATTTTCAGTCTGTCGGCTAGAGCTCTAATCCAACCTGGAAAAACAAGAAAATTATCATGTTTAAACAAATGATTTACTTTTTAAAACTACAAGAAAATAAAGAATGTTCTTGAACGAAGATTAGTTATTACTATCTAAAAAATAAGTTTTTTTGAACACCCTGTAGAAAATAAGGGCTCGTTTATATGTCACACAATTATCATCGAATAAAAAGGTTAAGATGTATTTATGCTTTGCCTTGACAGTTCTGTTTGACGATTCATTTGACACATTTGGATTTGATTCAAAATTTTGTGGATTTGTCAGTCTTTACTGAGCTTATTTTATGTTATTTATTATTTATTCTACTACTGATAGTTGTTTAAAGGTAGTAAATCTAGAGGAAATTTTGTGCCAGAGCTTAAATTACCAGTGACACCATAGACAAACAAATAAAAAGAAACTGGCAAATTAAATGGCAAAGAGAGGGACAACGTTCCCGTAGCGCAACTCAGAACGCAAAATTTCGTTCTATTTATGTTGATCTGCGCATTGCGTCTATTGGGCCCACTATCTCATTCTAATATAATAAGAGAGAAAGAAGCAGCCATATAAAACGTAATTTCTAAATAGAAATTAGAACAATCGCCTTTCGTTTTCGTCATCATGACAACCAAGATGACAACATCATGACAATTCGTCATGTTTGTTAATTTTTCTTTTGGTGATTTATCTTTTTTTCTAAACTCTCCATTTTATTGACTTATAAATATGGATAAGGAACAAATTCCTTTGTTATATATTGGTATTTATATTTTGTTACTTATAATTTTAGGTTATACTATTTTTTATTTTATTTGCTGCAGGAGCCAGTATCATCTATTTTTTATATGTATTGGTACCCCCTTTCTGTGATAGATATGTTAAAGACACCCGGTAAAATAAAAGTAAGTAGTTATATTTATCATCTTATTAAGAAAAAAGTAGAAGTAGTAGTGTCAAAAATATTTCGAACCTCTCTTAACATAACAAATTAATACAATTATTTTTTTTCATTTTTTGGGTAGGTAGTTTATAGCTGGTTTATAGTAACCAGAAACTTTATTAATATACCTATTTTACTTTTGTTTTAGGATTAAAACTGGACTTGAAAATGGTCCAGGATCATTATTCTCGTAAAGTCTTCTTTGCTTGGATATTCACTTTGTTATTGCAATTAGGCAGTTTTTTCGAAAATGAGATTTTTAATGCCCTTTAAAAAAATTGGCCCGATCGTTTCCTGCAACAGTCAGTTCTTCTGCATTTAAAATTGGTAGGTGGCTGGAATAAACACTGTTATTTTTTGTAATTATATTAAAAAAAAATTATTTATTTTTATGTATAAATAAATATGTTTATAAAACAGTGCAATTTTTGCTTTTTTTATAATTTCCCTTATAATAGTAGTATTCTTTCGTTCCGAAAGAAACTGCAAATTTTTACTTAAACTGATTTATTCCCTACACCACGTTCCCTTTACGTGGCCGTGGTATAGGGAATAAATCAGTTTAAGTGAAGATTTTCAGTTTCAGAATGAAAGAATACTACTAATAATGGCTAATTTAAATTTCCCGCCAGTCAGAATGTGCGATAATGTCTTAATATACGTTTTATACTTATCTCTTTCTTTTTCATATAAAGCACACATAATAAAGAAAGATAGCAATAAAGACGTACGTCCTGCCATGGTCCTGCTAATTGGTTTGAAAATTGTTATTCTGAGTTGCGCTACGGGAACGCGGTCCTACTCTTTACCATGAGATTTGTCAGTCTTTTTTTATTTGTTTGTCTATGGCTTAGGCATAAAAGTAAACTTTTAGGAAAATATATTATTAAACTGACATAAAACTTCAAATTCAACGAGCGTAACCATAGTTTTTCGATGTACTAAAAAGTGTGAGGGTGTATATACATTGACTAATTACTGACTTAAATTGTGTCATTTTTACTCCTAATAAAACAATATATTATTTCCTATAATTTATAATATAATAATAGCTCCCGTATATAGCGTTTAACGCCTTGGGAGTACCAAGGTACAGCTTGCCATGTTAGAGCCGTTCGGTATACAATGTGGCTAGCACTACGCTTCAACCGCCTATTATTGCCTCAGGATTGTGAATCCCAAGTACTCATTTAAGGCTGAGTCGACCTAGGTACCCAAACTATTTTTATTTTAATAAAAATAGTCGGCTGATGAAATGCCGGGTGTAGGATTCGAACCCACTACCTTGAGATTGGTAGACGAGAACCTGTACCTCTACGCCACCGGGCACCTTTTCCATACCTTTCCAATAATTTCATTTACAGAAAAATATAATAGGTATATCGATTTTCAAGTTCTTTGCAAAAAACACTGTTTCAATATCCACCATATAGTTCCAAAACTCATTATAAAATCCAAATACCGACTGTACGTATACATATCATATATATTTGGCATGCAATTTCATTTGGCTTTGATCTATTAACCGATCAGGCCCTTCTGTGTGCCCCCAGGCAGGGTGGAACTGATCGTCGTGTGGCTTTTCAGTGTGCCCGGAAAATATACACACCGTTTCGACGATATTAACCCTTTACTAGGGCCATACTCCTGTTATGTACCTACCTACAAGTGTGTAGGTATGCACGTAAGCGTGCGGTTAACCGTTACGTTTACTTAGGTCCTTCGGTTGGGTTCTACAAGGTATAGAATGTACAGGGTGTCCCATTTTAGTTGAAATCATACGGTAACTCCGTTATTAGTAGAGATAGGAAGATGCGGTTTGCACAAACCTGTCCCACTTTTTTGTTAAACGGAAGATGCTGTAAACAAAATTTTCATAGCCCTTTTCGTTTTTGAGCTACAGGGTCTTTTTTTAAAAATTTAGCAATTTTGAACATCCCCCGTAATTCTGTTATTCTGAAAGGTATGGAGAAGGCGGAACTGTTCCTTGTAGAACTTTTTACGCAGAATACAGTGGCGTAGTCTGATTTTCTACGAAAAAAATATTTTTGAAGGTATGAACTAAAGTTATGTTTTCGAAAATGTTAAAAACACCCTGTGTATTTATAAATTATATAACCTGGCTTGCTATAAGCTTCTCAAAAATATAAACACCCTATATTTATTTTCACTATTTACTGCAATATTTAAAAGATACAACTTTCTTATTGGTAGGCCGTGATAGATAAAAAAATAACAAAATGTTATTAACTAAAATATTCATACAGGCACACATTAAAATTTGACTTGGAACTAAAATATTTTGCTTTACAACTGTTTCCACTGAATTTTTGAATATATTTTTCTTTTTTTATAAAGCTTTTTCCAAGTCTTCGACATTGTTATAGTTGCCACCATAATATATTTAATTTTTCCAAAAAATCACCAAAACACAGGAATCGGGAACTGACAAATCCAGCGATATGGCAGGCCATCGTATGGGTCCATTATTAGTTCAAATTCATTGATTTGGGAAGTTGTTGTTCGTAAAATTCTCATATTTTTAAAAATGTGAGCTGAAAGTATATTTCACGTAAATTAGCTAAAGAAATATCCTTTACAAGTTCCTGTAAGATAGCTTCCAAGATTTACAAATAGCAGTAGAATGTTAAGTTTCTTTGATATATAATAGTTATTTTTTATACAAGACGATAAAATGGTATTTTATCGTCGTGTATAAAACAATATTTTTTTCCATAGCGAATTACGTTTTAAAAAATATTCAGAAATAATTATTTCAAGGATTTTATTGCGAGTAGAAAAATATTGCACTGGGTTGGCGTTGATTTCTATGTAATTTGATAAATAAATAAAGCTGTCTCTTTAGTTGTCAGTTTTGAGTCAATATTTTTAATTCTCTTTCGTGTCGATTGCTGATTGAATTGGAGCCAGAAATGGCTCAAAACGAAATAAGTAAATTACCAACAGATATTCGGGCTGAGGCGACAAACGCCATATCCAAACTACTTCCATTTAAATCCCGAATAACTTATGAAAAGGAATACAAACATTTTCAAAAATGGAAGCAATTAAAAAACGTGCGAGAAGAAATAAAGTTTTTAACCGATCCTCGCTGTTAAAGTATCATTTGATCTACCCTTACGGTTAAAGTACTATTTTATCTAGTATTTTTGATAGATATAAAGTAATTTTAACAGTTGATATGGAAAAAATAATATATTAGTGAATCCCAAAATAAAATAAGACACAGATAGCTGTATACTTTTAATATTTTTTTGTTTCTTTTCTTATCAATCACGACCTACTAATTAAAATGATCTTCTAATCAAACTTTTTAAATATTGGAGATTAATTTAGAAAAACAGATATTTTTTATGGACTCTATGAATATTTAGTTTAAAAGTATTCCTATTTATTCTACACGAAGCTTATGTGCAATTAAAAATAAAACGGTTTTATGGGTTTACGTTGCGGACAGCAAGCTGTTTAAAATTTTATACTAAAAGCTTCTGACCGAAACGCAAACTTTTCCTCTATATACTGGAATTTTTACTGAAGTTTTCTAATGTTATTACCAAATTTTTGTTTTAGTATTGCAGAATTTAAAGTATAAAAATATGCTCAATATGTGCTTTTACTGGATAGATTGTAAATGTTATTTTCTTTAGATTTGTTTAATAGTCATGTAGTCATATTAATATCATCCGCATTATTATTAGCAAAATATTTTAATTATTTTTTTCAACATTAAGTTGTTGTCACTCCAAGTTATTTTATATTCCTGTAAAGAAATAATTTTAAATTTACATTTGTCTGCCTTCTGACAAATAATCAAAAAAGAAAATAGATTTGGATACAGTTATAATGAAAAACTAATCCATTTTAATTGTATCGATACCCAATTAACTCAAGGAGCAGAAGTGAAATTAAACGTCTCAGACAGGGTATTACTTTCTCTAACGCAACCCATAATTACGAAGTATCAATTAACAGCGAAGGTAAAATCATCTAGACAAAGAGATAATTAAATTGGGACTTTGTAGGATAAATAAGACTGACCTTAGTTGAAG